TACATCCTACCACTAAAACCATGGGATACCTATCACTAACACACCAAACCACTCCACATCATTTCTTTTAATCAAATTTAATTCAAAAATACATTAAAAACATATATTTTTTTAAACTAGTTTTTGCATCGAATTAAAATACCACATTACATTAAAAAAAACTACATTACTTAAAAAAAACGCAATGTTCAAAAAATAACCTAAAATTGTCAAACATAACTAAAAAACTACTCCATATTCTTATATCGGGTTCAAACAGATTCTTTCATTGTGCGAAATATCTCAAAATCTTTGCCTTTGAGATCATTCGCTTTCATCTTCAAAATCTCCATATCGGTATTTGTTTGAAGCGTTGCTTTTGCCTACTGGAATGATGTTTTCACTTCTATCATTTTTTATTCCACCAGACTCATTATCTACACCTTGGTTTCTTGTATTTAGACATGTTGATCAAATTTGTCTCCAAATGATCCATAACGCTAGATACCAAAGCCGAAGAACACGCTTTTTTTGCTTTATTTATCCCAACGGGTCGACGAAGAGGTTACTCATCTTCAAGATCTATCAGATCATTGTTGATGTCGATGTGTGTCCACCTATCCGATTGTTGGGAAGTTGCATCAGGGTGTCTTGAACACTTTGAACCAGAAGAGGTTTGTAAAGTTCCTTCGGTTTGCTCTTTCCATTTTGGAGCATCTTTCAAATTGAGTCATGGTTTGAGATATGGAAAATCTTTGCGGTTGGCGTTGTTTTTTTTTCAAATTGATCCAAGGCCACCTTAAACACATTGAAATCGTTTGACCCGCTTTTATGTAGGTTGTTGAGGTTGTTGTAAATTCCTTCAAATTCGATATATTGTAGTCTAAAATCGTGCCACTTCGAGCTAATTTGATCAAGATTTCGACTTTCACTTCCCATTAACTCGTAAAACACGATTGTCCATGGAACCCTATTGGTTGTATTGGTGGTGAAGGTTGTGTTTCCGACACAAGATTCAGTGAAAGAGGAGACAGTGAAGGTGGTGGTTATGATTATTGTGGTTATGGTTGGAAAGGTTGTTGTTGGTAAACGAAATCGAGGTGGAATTGTTGTTGATGGGAAAGATTGGAATTGTTGTTGGAAAAGTTATGTATGTTGGATACGAAACTGGTTTGGAGCAAATTCATAAAACCACCTTAAGGTGATTTCATGGTCGGGAATTGGCAGAGAGTTGTATCTAATGCAAAAGTGTTATCGGGTTTGAAGTTTCGATGGTCGGGGGGGGGGGGGGTATTTTGATTGGGATCCATGGTTTTTGGTTATAAAGAAAGTTGTGTGTAACTGTTTAATATAGAAAGAGAAGAATGGTGTAAGAAATGAGGTTGTACATTATGGTGTTTATATAGGTAAAATGGATGTTTTAAAAAAATGAAAAATGATCGTTGAAATGGCCAATTAAAGCCTCAAACGGTCAAGAAGCCCTCATTGGGCGTTGTTTCTCGTCTTTGGTACAATAATCATCCATGAAAACGTTCGACCACAAATGGTCAGGTTGGTGTGCACAGACCACGACCGTGGCCACATCAACCATGAATGCATTTGTGGTCGGTATTGCATAAGGCCTAAGAAACAATCGTTTTAAATCACTTGCACTGAAGAGTGATGAAGAATTGCACTAACATTAAACTCAAAGTAAGTCGTCAAGACTTTTGAAAACTCAGTTCTTTTATCAAATTTATTCAATGAATGAGATGTAATGTAGCATTCAGCTACATTTGTGTTCAAGTATTATGATTATACGATGTCCATTGGAAATTTGGAATTGAATTGTGTTTTCTTATTTTTGCAACGGAATAAATTTCAAGTTTGTTCAAGTTATGATCTCTATTTATTCATTGTAAATTTTATTGTGGTTTAGGTTGATGATTGTAATTTTATTGTGATTTAGGTTGGCAATGATAAGTTTGTTAAAAAAGACTAAAAAAACAATAATCAACCAACAAATAAGAGAAAAATAAATGATAAACAAGGGAAACAAAGGGTGGATGGTTGGAAATTCTTTAACCCGACTTTCACTAATGGAGTTCAATATGGAAAGTGCAAATGGTGTCCCTCGATTCTCAAAGCCGACCCGAATGTAAATGGTACATTTACTTAAAAATACATGTTTTTCAGACAAAACCTAGATAATTTGAAAAAAAAAACAAAGCACATTATATGTAACAACCTAAAATTTAGAAATATCTGACTTTTAGGCAAAGGTTGACCAAAAGGGCAATTTGGTCATTTATGAGAAAATGATGGGAATATGAAGTTGTAAAATCGGCATTTGATGCTTCTAGGATATCTTCGTGACCTGATAGATTAAGATATGTATTAAGTCATTGAGATATGACTTAACAAACTTGTAGTGTATGTTCCCACCTTCGCATGAATATAAAGATCATAAAAAACGAATAAGAAATGAAAAGGTTATGCACGTTTGAAGTTGGGACAAAAATGCCCTAAAGCTGTTGTTGATTCCCAGAAGCCACGATGTGGCTAATACAGAGTATACTAGACTAAATCAATATAAGACATACAAAGTACATGAGAATGAGCATGAGATGAGTTATATGGAGTATACGAGCCTGAGCATGATATATATATATATATATATATATATATATATATATATATAGAGAGAGAGAGAGAGAGAGAGAGAATATGAGATATATAGAGTATTCGAGACTGAGCTGAGATGTGATATACTATATGAGGTATATATAGAGTACATGAGGTTAAGTAGATATACACATAATATATGAGACTGAGTAAAGATGAGATATACCGAGATTGGGAAGAGAGGAGATATAACTGAGTATATGAGATTGATTAGAGATAAGACATATTAGAAAATATAAGATCGTGATGAGATGAGATGGTGACTTGTGGGACTCAACTTAAATTTCTCAAATGTGGTTTTAGGTTTAGGGTGAGGAGATACATATGTAGGGTCTATTAATTTTTTTAAATATATAAAAAATAAATACATAAATAAGAAAATTAATTAAAAAATAAATTGTAAAGGTCACAACAGTCTTTTGAGGTAAGACAAGGACCAAACGCACAACGAAAATAAATTGTAGCGATCATCCGAGTTAATAAATAAGTTAAGGACCAAACACACAGATTACCCAAACCACATGGACCATTCGTGTAATTTACTGTTACCTTTTCGGTATGTTTACGTCAGGGTAACTATATTTTTTTGTACACATCTAGGTAACGAACTTTTTGAAAGTGTTTACATATTACCATTATGATCAGATATAACCTGCTTCAACCAGTCATAATGATCATATGTGAATACTTCTAAAAAGTTCATACCTAGTGTTTACAAAGAAAAAGATAGTTACTCAGATGTAAACACACAAAAAAATAAATTATTTTAATAAGTGTATTTCCTTCTCCTTACATTGTATTTGTCATTGTCTTGAAAGTTTAGAAACTCTTACAAACCAAAAAGCCATGATCCACATAATAATTAACCTTTTATTATTTTAGTATTAAATTTAGTTGATCAATTTACTTATTTAATTCATTTATTATAATATTAAAAATAATTTCATTTATATTTTATAAATATTATTTATCTAATTTCTATATTTATAAACCAAAATCACATAAACATGATAACATAAGTTTGACATACTTTAAAATATAGACCTACAAATCGTTTGAAAGATAAATATATAAACACAACGTATAAGTAATTTATAGAATAAATTATATGAGTGATCCCTATAGTTTAAGGTAATTTACATTTTTCCTCCCTAATTTAATTTTTAACTTGTAAAGTTCTTACTGATTGTTTTTTTATGCACACCCTCAATCTCACCCTTCACCTTACATTTTCTACTCCATCATTTTTTTCTATTTAAATAATAGTATTTTTAGGTAAGATAGGGACCAAACGCGTAACAAAAACAAACAGTAGAAACCAAGCACGTAATAAAAACAAACAATATGAACATTCCGAGTTAAAAAATAAGTTTGAGACTAAACGCACAAATTACCCCAAACCATAGGGATCATTCGTGTAATTTACTCTAATTTATAAAATACACAAATATAATTATATTATTTTTCGTTTAAAAACATGCCAATTTGTTTTTTGATGATGTTTTATTTGTACTCTATATAGATTCATTTCCTTGAACTTGTTCCCTTATTTTCCATTTATTTATATATAAATAATTAAATTCATGTTAACATATTATAATTATTGATTATAAATAATTCAGATGTTTTGTAAAAGAATATAAGTTGGTTATGATGTATTAGTGTAAACATTTTTTAAAAGCATGTTAGTATAAAAATAATGTGGAAGTAACTGTAAACGGTTGAAGAATAAGTTACATATCATTGGTATCATGGTATGCATGGTCTTACGAAGCAAATAAAAGTGAACAAAGTAAAATAATCTAAAGCTTGATTTTAAAGGTGCATATTAGAACGGGTGGTCGCATTTGTCCATGGATCGGTTTAGATTATGACTACTTTGCATTTGTTAAAACCAAAAATAATCTAAACTAGTTTTTTGACAAGCTAACTTAAGATAATTTATCGGTAAGCTAATTTATAACTTAAAAATTAACATTTCATCTAATATGCCAAACTGTGCCTAAACATATTTATGTGCTTATTCTCACTTCTCCTTAACAGATGAACAAATCCATTACCATCAACAAACATATCATCATATATGTCATTCTCATTATGTATTACGTACAAAAAAAATGGACAAAAACAAAAATGGCATGGTAAATTGAGAACCAATCACGTTGTAAGCCAACAAGTATCTATAACTACAAATGAGATATAATAATTTCAAACCAATAAATATTACAAACCATAAACAAATCTCTATTCATGGTATGTTAACTTAACAACAACATAAATATACAAAACTATAAAACCAAAAAGAAATTGTAAACCTAAACAAAATACTTTAAAAAAAAACTCCGGTCGAAAATCTTTCAAGGGAATTTAAAACCAGATCCTCCGGCACTTGCATCCGCCGGGCCGGCGCTAGGGTTGATAGCAACCCACAACAACGACAGTGTGATAGCGATGAGCCCAGACCACACAAAGACAATCGTCGGCGTCTTTCCTCTCCTCCCCATCAACCCTTTGAAAAACGGGTACAAATGAGCCAAAACCCAGAAACTAAAAAACGCACCTCCGATGAACTTCCCCCATTGCGGGTTTAAACTGTAGATCGTCCTCGAGAAGGCAACAACAATGGCGAGAACGTTAATCATGGCGATAACAATTGGAGGAATCATCAACGACGTCCATTTCACTAGATACAACTCTGCGTATATGTCATCGGCGTCTTCTACTGCTTTTGCTGTCAAAGTGAACGAGATTTCAATCCCTGCAATCACCTTCAACAACCCTTGAACCACCGCCGCCAAGTGCGAGCTCGTACCGGAAATCAACCAAAACTGCTCATTCCGCCACCAATCTTCTAGAGACACACCGGACCACCTCACTTCCAACACCGCGAGTCCGATCAAACATAGGGTGATTAGTAACAGGTAGATTAAGAAAGTGGCGTTGAGATTTTTCACGATGAAGTTACCGGATAATAGCGAGAGCGCCGGAAGGAAGCAGTAAACGAGGAGGAAAATGGATGTAAAGGGGTAAATCCCAACATTAAGATACGCTAAACGTTGTAGAAATTTGAGGCGTTTAGATGCCAGAAAAGCGTTGTTTCTTGAGAAGAAAATCTCGACGGACCCCGTCGCCCATCGGAGCACTTGGTGGAGTCTGTCGGTGAGATTGATCGGAGCAGATCCCCGGAAAGCGTCTCGTTTTGTGAGCCAATAGATCGACCTCCACCCACGGTTGTGCATTCGATACCCCGTCACCACATCCTCAGTCACCGATCCATAAATCCAGCCCACTCGATCACCCCACTCCGTTTTGTCCTCGTACCTGTGTTCCAACCAACAAAGATTAAAAATGTTTCACCATAAGATAAATAAATATGATGGTTTTCTTTCTGGCTTTTGTCAAGACTATGTTTTTATAACTTCATTTTAACCATACAATACTTACCAACAAGAGATAACCGAAACAGATTCGGCTACAATAGTGGCGTCAAGCAGTTCACGGTTTTCCCGGAGCACGCCAGGAGGGCGGCCGTACTCGACTGCCGGGTGGTCAGCGATCGGCCGCCCTTGAAACTCAGCTACGGGAATCGATGCTGCTAAAAGTGTTGAGTTCCCGAATCGTCGCGGTAATTCATTAACATCAAGATCTGGGTCAAAATCGGATGCCTTCAATGCTTGTCTCTCCGATGGCGATTCATTGCCACCTGTCCCCTTATTTGTTGGTAGAATGTTGACCTTTGGCGGGTCAAACCCGTACAAAGCAAATCGTCTAAACATGCATCCCGTACCCACATAAAATGGACCTTGTACCCCATCAAGTGCTCGCATGTTTCCATCAAAAAACACGGTGTTGTGATTTGCGTAACGATCTGAAGGGTCAATTCCTTCGAACCGCTGCGGGAACTGAATGTAGCAAATGTCTTCGCCTCCACGATCCATCATGAAGCAAATCCCTTCACGGACCGCCATGCAGTTGTTCACATAATGATCACAATCTAAGTTCAAAATAAATGGCCCGTTCGAAAGGACTGCAGATGAACGCACAAGCGCATTCATTGCTCCGGCTTTCTTGTTATGGTCATAGCCAGACCGCTTCTCTCTCGACATGTATACAAACATTGGTAATCTTATATCGATATTTGAGTAGTCGACAAGGCTCTCATCTCCTGACCCGAGTATCGGGTCAGGGGACGGAGGCTTCAACATTACTTGCAGGATACCAGGGTGATCACCTTTTGCATGATCCTTACTAGGGTTGGCCCAAGTACCGGGCCAATGAGTGCCATCAGCCATCCATGTGGCCCGTTTGATCTTTATCGGTTCTGTTGGGTCTACACCGCTATCCCGAACACTCTTTAAGATCTTCATCTCCTCCCTCGCGTTAAACGCGTCAGATCGTCTCCGTATCGAATCCGGCAAGTTATTAATTCTCACTTTAAACTCGTCATACTCCCGCTTCACCCTTCTCCGATCCTTAACGAAATCGTTTCGTTTCTTGTTTTTTGTTGGATCGCCTTTTAACGAGAAATACGTGTCCGGATTTCTTGGCTCAATGTCATGTTTTCGACAAAACGGGACCCACAAATCTGCGAAGCTGCAAGCTTCCGCCATGGCCTCGAAGGTTAGAAGGGAACCACCATCATCGGATATGTAACAAGCAACCTTCTCCACCGGATATTCAATGGCCAAGATCGATAAGATGGTATTGGCGCTCGTGAGCGGCGGCTCTTTCTCGGGATCCGCGGTGGAAACAAAGAAATCAATACCGGGGAGGTCGGACCGACCGCTAGGGTTCTTGACTTTGTCCGGTAACTCGAATTTATCGCGAAGAAGGGGAATGTCAACCGAACGGTTGACCGGGCAAAGCTTTGGGATTTGATCCAAAATCCACGAGAACCCGAACCAAAGCTCACATATAATCGACATTAACCATAACCACATTGCATCAGGATTCGGGTGTCGAACTCTCCATGTTAAAAATAAACATAACACTACAAAACGAACTACAATCAATGCTCTATAAGGACTAATGATACTAGTTGGAATAGGAATTCTCCGGGTGAGCGGCCGCCACGGTTTGTCCGCCGGATCTCCGATACCGCCGCCCATCCCACCACCTTCCTCCGGTGGCCAATATGCATTACCAACACCATAGGTACCGGAAGTCTCATTAAACAATCCTTTGTTATGATCAACGTTGTTGTTTCTCTTTATCACCGACATACTCCCCGGAAGTGTCAATGCTCCACCGTATGGTGGCTCATCATCATCCTCCGACCTGTATGGCTCTTTGCATCCCGGACATAACCCATTATCTTTCTGTGCATCTAAAAAACAATCTTTACAAATCCTAAATCTGTGAAAAACAAAACCGTAAATTAAAACGAAAGATTTGATTTGACAATTTTTAGTTTTGAGAAACCCACAACAGAAAAACAAACCTGCATTCACATGGAATAATATCTACGCCTTTATCATCTTTCATGACCTTGCCATCACAAGCTGGCATGGAGCACGACGAACCTTTGGAACTCGCCATTTGTGGATGAGTCGCCGCTGATTCAATTACTTTATCCAAGAGATGGGCACGTGTCACGCTGTTGAAACCTCCGGTGAATAACGAATTAGAAACATATTGTTGTTCAGCTTTTGTAGCCACTGATGTCTCATCGTCGTCGGAGGATGCCGGAATATGAACTGTGTAATTCGATGAGTCGCCGGATGAATCAATTTCATCTTTTGATGATGTGACATATCGCCCACTTGAAGTTCGCCGGGCAAATTTTAAATTTTGGCCGGATCCGGAGGACCCACCACCACCTCCGCCGGTGTTCTTTATTCCTTTTTTAGATGGTTGGGAACTTGCCATTCCCTCACCATCTAACTAGATTTGATTTCATTTAATTTACGCCATTAAAATCCCTTATTATTCTGGTTTTCTCAATTATCTTTTAGTTTGGTGAAATTAATCCTTTAGTTGCTAGTCGAACGAGAATGGGAGAGCACAGGAGAGCGAAAGAATGAAAAAAAAAAAAAAAAAAAAAAACAATTTTTTAGCGTTGGTTTCTATAAATAACAACTTTTCACGACAATAGTTTTACTCATTCAAACTTAAATAGAAACTTTTTAGGAGGTAAAACGAGAGGTTGAAAGTATCTACCAATAATATGGTAAATGTCAATGTTGGTCTAATGTAATTAATAGGTTAAGACCTAGACAACTATACACGACTTTATCTTTTTTATTTAATCTGATTAAGCCAAAAAAAAACATGGCTTAATGCATTAAGACACTAACACAAAAACGACAACAACACCAATAAATCCCACCCATGTGTGTATATTTGGAGTCTTGTGTGTCTTTTTTAATAGCTTTTCTTAGAGAAAATCAAAATAAAACTGTTTATGATTTCTTATATTCGTAGAATTCTAAAATAATGAGTCCTTATGTAACATTAAAAGCGATGTACATATATATGCTTAAAGATTAGGGTTATGCAAGTGTTGCACACCTCTCCATTCAGAATGGGGACCTATTGTTATTGGTTTGAGCAATGCGGCTTGACCGATGCATATATATGAGTACTTGCCATATGACTTATGGTTCGAACCAGGGCTAAAAATGTACAACTCGTTAAAGCCTTCTCTACCCACTGCAACTGAGTTCCGTTTACCCTGTAATAATTACAGAGCATGTATGCGTATCAGTCTAATTCATATTCTGTAATGTCATGTAATGTGGTAAATAGATAGTCAAATTTAGATGTGATTTTTTTTTATAGAAGTACCCTGTCCATGATGGTGAAATTCCTCGGAGCACTGGTGTAGATCAAGCTTAGTTTCTCAGTTAAATGCTTGTAGTTATCATCCTCTTCACCTTCAATCTCTTCATCTTCTTCCCCATTTTTTGCTGTTTCATCTTTCATGTCCTGATTCGGGCTTCCGAGTCCCCAATCTGATAGCAGTCGCTTGAACCCTAATTGACGCGAATCATTCTTGTTAATATCAGGAGGAATAATGCTGAATTTTGAGAAAATCTGTGGTTTAACGAAGTAATTTGCTCTCTCGAGCCCGACGGCGTATGATGCTTCCGGTGTGCTCACAGCTAAGTGACCGATGATCGATCCTGTTAGTCGGAGTGATGAAGATCTCAAATTCGTGATCACGATCTCTGAGCTTATAGCATCTTCTTTCAAAGTCACAATGTGTTTGATTTCAATTTTGTCTTCTGAATTGCTACTAATCAGTTCTACCTAAGAACATTAGGACAATTTCAATTCGTTCATACAGAAGAACGGGAAATAGATATCGCGAATTGAGTATTCACCTGAATGGACTCATCTGGACTTCCTCCAACATTGCGAAGATTCCAGATAGTCGGAGACCATGAAATCACTTCATTTTCTTCATCGTCGCCGCCTCCTTCACATCTGAAAGCTAACGAAACGCCGCCACGGATTACCGCACCACGGCCGTCGTCCCCCTCGGATACCGACGTATGCAGCAACTCCTGTAATCCTCCATGCCACATACGCGGCTTGTAGGATGTAATGAGTCCACTTGGAAGCATGAGAGTGGCGACACTACCGTTGTCCAATCCCATCCTGACAACGCAACTTTCTCCGAGGCTTGTGAAGGAAGTGCCATGGCCGCTGAATTCTGTTTCGAGGTAATCGACGTTGATAGGTGGGTGTGGAATCGAAGCGGCTCTTGGCAACTGGAAATTTCTGGTGGAGGCGTTGAAGTTGTTGTGAGGTGGAATGAGATTAGAGGTGATTTTGGTGATGGGGTTTGTTGCAGGTTGAAGATGGATGATGTTGGATGAGAAGATGGAGCTGTAAACCGTAGCCATTGTTTTTCTGTTTTTTTGTTTGGCTTTTCTAATTATTCGTGTGCATTTTATATGTTCGAAAAAAAAAAGATATTAAATTAACTGTATATATCAATTTCAGAGTACATATTGTTATAACTAAAAAAAAGATTGGTTTCAGACCCAACTAGAATAAAACCAAGACCGCCAGTCTAAAATGAAACTGGACCGAAAAAAAAAAATTGGACCGAAAAGGACATTTTTATAACTAGACTTGCACAAAAGAACCGATTTAGGATCAAACCCGAAAAAATCCAAGACCGGACCGGTTTAAAACGAAACTAGATCGAAAAAAAAAAGATCTTAAAAAAGACCGAACCGAAAAAGACATTGTTATAATTAGAACTGCACAAAAGGACCGGTCTCGGACCGAACCCGAAAAAAACCAAGACCAGACCAGTCTAAAACGAAACTGGACCGGAAAAAAACGGTCCTAAAAAAAATATACAAAATGACCGATCTCCGACCGAACCCGAAAAGAACCAAGACCGGACCCGTCTAAAACGAGGTTTTAGATTGGACCGAAAAAAAAACAATCTTAAAAAGGACCGGACCAAAATGACTGTCTCGATATCGTTGAAAACTGACTTTGAGAAAAACATGACCGTTTTGAGACTGATCCCAAAAAAGATCGGGTCGTTTTAAGATCGGTCCAAAACTAACCGAAGACCAGTATGAGACCGATCCTAAAAAAGACGGGAAGCTAAAGTTTATAAATATGTTATTCATGTGTTAATTACACAATTTTTAACCATACTCTCTAACTTTTATTATTATTATTATTATTATTATTATTATTATTATTAAAATTGTTGCTTCTTCGCTATGGGATTTGCCATCTTTAGTCCACATATTTTCTATATATACAAATTCGTCCGATTCTATGTTGACATTGCAATTTGATCCTTACCAGGGTATTGTCATCGGGTTACTTTAACTCAACCATGGTCACCGCTTATTCTCCACCGCTTTACATACTCAACAAACATCCGTCTTACATCCTTCCAGAACTCTCTTTATCTCTCTCGCCATTATTGTTTTCTTCCTCAAGGTTTTTTGCTTCGTCAACTGCTCTGCTTCATCTTTCCCCTTCTTCTGAGTCGTCATTCGGTTTTGGGGAAACGATGGTCGATCGATCAATACTAGGGTTTTTAGGGTGGGGTTATCGCTTCTCATCTTCTTGGCCTTATCCAACCGCGTCTTTATCCACCGCTCAAATTCCCGATCCTTCCATCACCCCCCACCGCCTCTCTTATCAGTTCGCCTCCGTCCACCTTTCCTTCTCCCTTTCTCTACAATCGACCGAGACCCTAGGAACGACAATTGTGAGATAGCGTCACATGTTCTCATTTCGATTCTCCACTCACTGCCTCAACTGCAGGTAAACACTTTAATCTAACACTGTACTACCGTCTCAGCGCCATCTCCATCTTCACCAACAATCACAGCAACATAACCAGGACCTATTTCTTCCATATGTTCAGTGGTGGTAAATAGGGTTGTGGAGGATGTAACGCCCGCAGATCCGGGCTAGTCAATTTAGAGGCAATAGGGATCGAAAACGAATTTTCGACAAAATATTATTTAGAATAAATAATCTTAACCAAGTTGTAGAATATGTCACAAGGTTTCCGTACATATAAAGAACGCCGAAATCCGAGTTATAACGAAGAAGTTATGGTGCGCATATTGTCTGAATACTTGTTGTCTATGCTGGTGAAAGCTTTTTATACATGTTTTAAATGATGTAAACTGTATAAAGTATTTTATATCTACAAAATATGTTGGGTAAAACATGGGTAGATGAATGATGAGGGATAAAAGCTGAAATAGAGGAACATTAGTAGCATGGACCTGGTGCCCTATAGGTATACATTGGCAGCAGTGGACCTAGTACCCTATAGATGAGCACTGGCAGCTGCGCCACAACCCGTAGATGTTTCAGATCTACGGTAAACGTCCTAGCAGCTGCACTCTAAGGACAGTATGGGCAGTTGCGCCTAATAGGGAGCCTTATGACCATGACAGTAGCGTTTAAAGGTCAACACTGGCAGAAGCGCCTCATAGAAAATGTCCCAATTCTGGCAGCTGCGCCTAAGTGACAAGATTAGCAGTTGCGCTTGAGCAATGTGTCATTGGCAACAATGGACTTCATGTTGTTTCCTTAGGATGATCCTTAGGAATGAATGAATGAGAAATAGTTGATTCTTAGGGTAGACCCTAAAGAATAAAGAAGATAATGGGGATGAATAATTGGGTTGATTGTTTGATTATTTAAACATAATAATTATATTATTGTGGGTTCCTATGTACTCACCAAGTTTCCCAACCTGACCCACTCAGTTTATTTATATCATAGGTGTTGATATGAAGTCACATTACACTGAGAGATTAAAGAGATGTAGATCACTAGTGTAAATAAATGTAAGTTCTGTTTATGCTTATGTTCCTGTATTGACGATGACATTCCAAACGTTTTAAAATGAATAAAATATGTTTCTTCGAAAATGTTTTAATAACGTATTTATTGTGTTTTTCTGGGAACGAATTCCGCAACATTTTTATTAAAAGAAGAACTCTGATTTTTATAAAGCATAAACAAAATCGGTCTTTTCTGGCCGTGAAAATGGGGATGTCACAGTTGGTATCAGAGCATTAGTTTAAGCGAACTAGGAATATGGATTTATTTCTAGACTTAAACTTAGAATGTTAAGCGGTGATTGTGATGTGTGAGCACTAGATTATTTTAGGAATTGCGCCTAAAATGCTTTTATGTGTTAAATACTTGTGCCTGATATGCTGTTATTTGTTCGGATCTATGGTATGTTCCTGACCGGATCTGGAAACCTTATGTGTTTAGGATTCTAAGCGTTTAACTACGATATTAAAACTAGCATATAAACGTTTCGGAGTGATAAGGATGATTTAACCGTCAATCCTAAGTAAAGGTCTAGGTTCACCTTATTCGGTGTATAGATCAAGATGGCAAGAACCCGTAGCGGAAACGTCAATGCAAATGGGAACCGAAACCAACCCCCAGTGATTGAGAAAATACCGGTTATGGTAGCCGCTGCTGAGCCAATAACGATGGTCGGAGTGCAAGAAATGATCCTGGCGATGTTGGATCGTCAAATGGAGGAAACCAGACGTTTGCTCCAAC